AGTTGCTGGCGGGGTTGGAGACGGATTGATGGGACTTGTGTTTATGCATTCTTTCAAGCATGCGGATGGATGGATTATTGGCTGTTTGCAAAGCAGGGTTATGCCATCTTTTGTGACGTGTGTGTACAGTAGGTACATGCACGTCGGCGCCCAAAGTGGTGACAGGCCCAGGGTACCAAGCACGTACATACATATGTACTTTAGTAAATGGGACGGGCTAGATCGGGAAGAGCCGCAAACCAGCATGTCTTGAATGCCAGCGAGTTTGCATGTGCCCGTCCCGCGCGTCAATCTGTCCGAGGCAACGTGATACTATGTGCTGTGCCATGGGGGGCCTAGTCATTCACAGATGCAATGTCCCTAATATTGACCTTTGAAAAACGACATTAGAATTACATGGCGTATTTGACGCCGGACCTTCAAGCCAAATCGGAACATGATTCATCATGCCATCAGCAAACGCATCATTAATCCATCTTGAATCTTTTGCCCACCGTCCAACTCCGTTGCGATATTGTACAATGCTGAGAGACGCGAAACGTAATATAACTCGCCTTCAAGGCAGTGTGCCTTACAACACCTAGTCCACACACATGTTGAGCTCACATACATGTCAAGACGAAAAACAGTACCTCAAGGTCGGCTTTACCGTGCAGCCGTCTCGTTATATGCTCATGATGCGACCTCCAAGTATCCGGTTGTAAGAGCGGCTCCAAAAGGGACCTCTTCTCCTGCCGCGAGACACTCAGATGCCGTTGCTAGATCCGCAAGGTGCTGTAGTCCTTGGCTGGCTGCCGCTTCGGCCGCAGAAGACGATGCCGGCCTGAGTCCGTCCGCAAGCTTGTCCTTGACACCGTCCCAATGACCTCCGCTAGGCTTCTCTGTGATTTCCTTGATGATTTCCGCCGCCTCCTCCCGCGTGGCCTCCGTCCTAGCCAACTTTCTCAGTGACATGGTGGCAAGCGAGACGAAATGACTAAACAACGGGCCCTTCAACTCGGGCGTCACGGACAGCAAGTGGGCCAGCTCCTTTGTTGGCCAGATAATCTCTTTCGGCGTGGCGCCAGGCGTGAGCATGGTGACAAGGAGGCGGCAATGCCAGTAAGCAAGGTGAATCATGGGGTACGCTGCTGCATCAATATGCGCAGGCAGGTCTTCCCGGTAGTTCTCGATATAGTCGGTCAAGATCGCAGCCATTGAGGCATCGGCAGTGTATAACCCAGCCTGCAATGTTGATATGACAAAAGAGATTCGGTTCAAAAGTTTTGATAGGCCTGCAGGAGCTTGTCAGTGCTGTTCCAACTGTTCCAATTGCATACACACACACACACACACAAATTGAATGTTGACTTACGAAGGAGGTGGAATGAGACCTCTCCAATTGTGTTCTCGAGGCTCGCCGGAACGACAACACTCCTGTCGGGAATTTGCGCAGGCTGGCCAGTTCCTGCAGCATGCCATCTGTCCATCAGCACCAATGACCACCATATTCGGACACATAGCTCGTCATCAGAGTCGGGTTCTGTCGTCGAGTCGACAGGCGAGCATTTCCACAGCTTCATTGAGTTGGCAAGAGCTACGGCACGAGCGAGAAGAAAAGGCAGACTCGAGGTTCCCCGCCAATCTGCATCAATGATCAAGATCAGTAGCGTCTGCGCGTGGACAATATCAGTGGCGCGGCTGCTTGGAGCGTCGTTGCTCTCCCATTCATGAAGCAGGGAACTGGCAATCTTGGGGCTGTCAGACGATGGCTGGCCAATACAAGACAGAGCCAGGGAAAATGCGGATCGAACTGCTGCGTTTGTCTGCAATAGCAGTGATTGAAGCCTGCCCAGATCGGTCGGGAGCACCGGGTAAAGCGGCTGAACGGAGGCCAGGAACCTGGAATATATGTCAGTTGGTCATCGTGCCAGCACCAAGCCAAGTCACACAAGCACGTACTCCAGGAAGGCCTGTTCATCTACTGCAGGAACCTCTTCTCCATCTACCATGGGTACATCTGCCGGTGCAGCATGTGGCTTTATAGGGGTCTCATCGGGCTTGATCGGTGTTGGTTGGGGTGCCAATGAACTGTTGCTGTACTCTTGAACGAGACCTTCTCCCTGTCCGGATGCCGGCTGGGCTGAACGCGCCTCGGATCCCCAGGGCGCTTGGCGTACGGTAGTTGGTGTGGTGTAGTCTCCGGTAGATATGCTAGAAAAGGGCCGTTTTCGTGTGGAATCTTCGAGGCCATTGCTGTGCCTTGACCGATCCGTCGCAAATAACTTGTCAATGTCGTCTTGGCTAAGATTACCCTCCGATTCCAACTTGTTTTCGATACTGTGGATTCGGTCTGCGAGTTCCTTTATATATCTAGAATATGAATTAGCTAAACAAGTAACGCTGTTGTTGGGTGTGTTTTGGCCTCCATACCCTTTGCTGGGACCACGCTTTTGAGGTACTCGACTGAACAAGCATCTAATGGATGACCGCGCGCAACTGGAGCACGGCGTCTCGCCAGAGTCAGACTGTGCATCGCATTTGATCTTTTTTCTCCTACATTCGTCACACGCGCGCGACACCTTGGACCTCTTGCGCGGGGGAATGCCGTCCCCCATAGCATATTGCGGCGGGAGGGCAGGCCCAACCGCAACGGGCATCTGATGCTGAACCATTGGATCAGGCGGAGGAGCTTCCTGGACATAAGATGCTGTGTGGTGCTGGTCGGGATCTGGGTGTGGCATGATATTGCGCATGTTGGGGTCCTCGACCGTCATGTTCGGATCGGTAGCTGGGAGAATGGAGGTGCCAGCCAAGCCTTGGCCCAATTGCGCCGCCAACTGCAGCTCTTCCAGATTTGCCGGTCTAGAGACGTGGTGATGCGATGCAGCATCATCTTGGGCCGACATTTGTGTCTGGTCATGCCCCTGTCCATGCACCTCGTCAGCAACCTGCTGCTCGGCTTGATCATGGTGTTCTGGGGCACCATCGCGAGCGTTATGGTAGAATGGGCCAGACTCCATTCCTTCTGCTCCAGGAGACGGGTAGGTCAACTCAGCCGCATCTCCAGCGTCGCCTTCTGTGCCTGGACTCATGTCGATGCGACGCGTGTTGTGTGCTATCGACGCAAGCAACAGTCTCGCGACTTGAGTCGGCAAAATTTGGGGTAGGTGGCCGTGGTGGTCCTATTCACTGGCACAGCAAGATATTGATGCTCCGAAAGAAATTTTGATATCGGTCTAACTATCGATCAGGGCATATGGGCCTTGAATTGCCAATGCATGGGCAGAAGCACCAGACAATCGGTCAACAGGCGCGTTGAAGTACACTGAGGCCATTGTTAGCGTGGTTGCGCGACCAGCATGATTCCACCGCAAAACAGCAAATTCCAAATTGCAGCACAGCGACACGGTGGGTGAGCGCTGATGTGTTGCCATCAACAGGTAAAGGTGAGATGCATCAACTTACAGCTCCAATAGCTCCCTGGATCGGAGGATGATAAATGCGATGGGCCCGTCGCGCAACGGAAGAGGAAGAACTCGGCGCCGTGGTTGTGTTTGGTTTTGACCCTTTGAGATCGAGCACGGAGATGGAAGAATTTTCGGGAGGAGCGGCAAATCATCGGCTTAACTGCCGGGGCCGCTAGGTGGCTGACGGGGCATCTGGGTTCCGAGATAGCCAGACAGACCAGACCAGACCCCAGGTATTTTTGGCACAAGCTGTGGCACCACTGACCCTGACCAGATCATCCCGGCAAGTTGGCGGCCAAATTTCGCGTTGGAAGTTGGAACAAGACGGACGGCCTGCCCCCAGCTCTCGAGCTCCATACTACACGGGCGTCGAGGATGAATACATAAATAGTACAAATGTACGGAGAACATAACTGGGTATCCGAGGAAGCGGAGATGCAGATGCCTCTTGTCTGTTCGAGGTTGCAGTCGCATCTGCAGGCTCCATTGTGGCGGCGACTCCCAGGCAATTGGGCGCATCACCACATGTTGCAGCCAACCTTGGTTCACGACACGACGATGCCGTGTCCATATCCTGGTGCGTCCAGAAGTCCCCGGCGATGCTGATGACTGGAGAAGTCCTTGCATCGCACGGCCTGGTTCGAACCGATTGGATACCTCGATCCAGCCCCATCGGCGCAATCTGCGTTGGCCCTGCACATGTGGTTTGCTTATAAACGTTGCATGCGCTTCGCCGTTCCCGTCTCTCTTGGCAAGTCTCTTCGAGCCAGATGCCTCATGTCCCACTACTTCCAGAGTCCAGTTCTCTTCCAAATTTTCTCGTTTCCTCGTTTCCTCTTCTTCCGGCGGCCTGCCCGTCTCCTTGCCGCAAGGCGGGAGTGTGACTGTCCAGGCGCTATGAACGCTTTGGCAATCAACATTGACGCAACAATTTGGACATAAAACATGACCAACCCGCGTCAACACCCAGTTGGCTTCCTCTGAAAACACGCAGAACCGAAACGCGGATCCCTCACCACCGCATTCTCACATGATGGATATCATCGCATCGCAAAGCTGGGCGTATATTCCAGATCTGCCCGACGATATTGGTCCCATCCGCAACCTGCTCCTCGTGTACAGCAGGATCCCTGCAAGTGATATTGACAGCCACATTCTACGAGTGGTGAGTGTGTTCTACCGAGAAGGCCAATCAGTGCTCGTTGGCTGATGAGTGACAACCCGATGCCAGCGCGAGGATGCGTGGAGAGTATCAAGATTTCCTTGCGTCGGCCGGTGGAAATTTCTACGCTTAACCGAGCAAAACGATCCCTGCTATCGACAGGTGCTGTTCAGGCTCAACGTGCCCAGATCGAACGATGCCTTTTTGGACCTGGGTTGTTGTGTGGGACAGGTTCTTCGTCAGCTCCGTCATGATGGAGTGCAAGGAAATCAATTATTCGGAACTGATGTTCAGTCCAAGTTTGTTGAAATCGGCTATGATCTATTCCAGGATCAAGACGAATTTGGTGCCACTTTTGTTGTTGGCGACATGCTGGACCCCGATGACACCAGGCTAGATGACCTGTTGCACAAGGTTACCATCATATATGCAGGCAGTTTTTTCCACTTGTTCAACTGGACTCAACAAATCTATATTGGCAAGCGACTGGTGGGATTTCTCAAGCGCGGCACCAAAAATGCCCTCATCTATGGCCGCCACATTGGCACCACTCGGCCGGGTCCATCTCCATTGGGTAATGATATGTCGCCATATCTCCACGACAAAGACAGCTTCCAGCGCCTTTGGGATGAGGTTGGGTACTTGACAAATACGAAGTGGGCTGTGGAGATAGAACCTGCCGGCGAAAAGATTGTTGATGTACCACGCATCGATAGGGATGCCCAGCCGGTCAACTTTGTCATACACCAAATATCATGACAGGGTTGGCGGCGAGTCGGTGGGGGGGGCATTTTAGACTTTGTCTATAGACATATAGGTTTCTAGTATATTTATTGATGTTTGAAATAACCACCTCTTGGCGCGTATTGTCTGCCTGGTGAGTGGGTGATTTTATTGGCGAGATGAATATTGAGAGGCCATGCAAGTGCGTGGTATGAACTGTGGGTGCATGCCGAGGGGATTGATCTACGATTCATCTAGAAAGCACTCAACCTGCACCAGTCTCGGGACATTGGCCCGAAAAAAAAAAAAAAGCTCACTCGCCTCATATCGTGATCTCCAACTCTTCGCCCGCCCAACGGAGGTAACATTGTAGGGATGCACAAAGGTGTAGGGTAGCTCTCATATTGATTGTTGTCAGATCGACGCCGTTCATGTATCGATTGAGCACGGACTCTTGGGCCACCAGACTTGCTGCAGCCTCCTGTGCCCCGCCAACAAGCTCCAGTCCAACGTCAAGCAGCTCCACGCGCGAGTCGGGCGGCTAGCCGTTGCTTGATCTCGACATTCATCAATATCCTGGACATCGATGACGAGTATCCTGTGAGGCGCATTGCGTTTGAAAGCGTCGCGGAGCCATACAGGCACACCTGGTGCTTGGGCATCGTTTATCAATACTTTATCATCCTTCGGAGAATGACAAGCCAGCAACAATGGACGGCGACTGGGATGAGGTCAGTCGCTCTGCAGCTGAGCCGACATGTTCCACCGGCGCACATCCAGATGTCTGCTGCCCGCTGGTCATGTCAATGTGCCAGGTCATGCGTCTTTTCAACGGGTTGCTAACGTATATATGACTGCTCCCAGGTCGCCCGCATTCCGTTCCCGCCTCCGGGCGTCCATGCAATGCCGACACCGGTAACTACGATGACCTTTGACACTTTCCAAGAACTACTATGGACTGGAAACGATTATGTATGCATCCATATGACATATTCAGCACCGAACTGTTCAATTTTTGACCGGCATTGCAGGGTCGCGTTACCTCTTTTCTTGGCTCGGAACTACAACGATATACCTCCTTCAAAGCACATCTTTCGACTGACGGAGCGGTACGACAAATATTGGTCAACGACAAGGGCGTGATCGTCTTGGGGTCAAAGGATGTTCACATGGCACAGAGGAGAGGGCCGCCGATATGGCACATCAAGTAACTACGATTACTTCACAGCCCCATACGCGGCAAGAGAGTGCTAATAGAGGAACAAGACACGACGACATGAAGGAACTGCGGTGCATGAGCTTTACTTCCAAAGGGACGGCCGAGATCATTGTTGCGGGATTGCAAGACACAATGCTAGTCATCGACCTTAATAAGGGCGAGGTCGTGAAGCAGGTTTGTTGGTGGCTGTTAGGCCCCATGCTGTTTCGCGCGACTGACAATGCTGCTAGATCGCAACCGAACACCAGTACTCCATCATGAAGCGAGGAAGGTATATTTGCGCGGCGACCAAGAACGGAACGGTGAACCTCCTTGACCCAGTGTCCTTTGCAGTTGTCAAGTCTTGGAATGCTCACTCTGCGCTGATCAATGACATGGATGCCCAGCATGACTTCATCGTTACATGTGGATATTCGCTTCGACAAGGCCAAACATACATGCTCGATCCATTCTTGAACGTGTTTGATATTAAAAAGATGTCGTCAATGCCACCAATACCTTTTCCTGCCGGGGCGGCGTACGTTCGCATGCATCCTAGAATGTTGACTACCAGTATTGTGGTCTCACAGTCTGGCCAAATGCATGTGGTCGACTTGATGAACCCAAACACAAGTAACGTGAGACAGGCAAACGTCCTGACCTATCTGAGTATGTTTGAGATTGCGCCGTCTGGAGAATCAATGGCCTTGACCGATGCTGAGTGCTATATACACCTTTGGGGATCGCCTTCAAAGCTTCACTTTGTCGACCTGCCAACACCAATCGAGTTTGCTAGCCCAGAGGAACACGCTCCTCAAATAGAATGGACCCCTGAAACGTATGAACCGCTTCCACTGGTATTTAAATTATACACTGACCTTCTCTTACTCAAGACCGCTGAACTCTGTTGGATTGCCCTACTATCGGGACGTGTTGGCCTCGGCCTGGCCGGATCTTGTATCGGATGTTGGCGCCCCTCCAATCAGGTTTGATCCTCAGTTTCTCGTGAGCCTCAAGCCGACCGAATTTGGCCTGTACGGCCGCAACACGAGAGGCTTCAGGAGGAACCAGATTGAGGATACCAGAAACAGCCACAAGTCTGCCAATTCTGGGCTCAAGGCACCCAAGTTCCTGAGTGAGAAAGCCAGAGAGTCTGCAATATCCGATTCCAGGACGGACGATAAGACCGACGACGTTTCTAGCCCAGTGGCCGAGAACGAGATTGAAAGCAAGAAATCGGACGTGCCGGTTATGTATCGCAACGTTGAAATCAAGTACAGCAAGTTCGGAGTAGATGACTTTGATTTTGGGTGAGTTAACTAACGCTTGTGGTGCTATTTCCCCAACTGTCTGCTGACAAACTTCAGATTCTACAATAAAACTCGTTACTCAGGCTTGGAAATTCATATTTCAAACTCATACGCCAACTCACTCCTTCAAATCATGCACTTTACCCCCCTCATTCGAAACCTAGCCCTTCAACATGCGGCTACGGCCTGTGTTAGTGAAATCTGCTTGCTGTGCGAACTTGGCTTCCTTTTCGACATGCTACAAAAAGCGGACGGCTCAATCTGTCAGGCAACAAACCTGCTGAGAACACTTAGTAGCCACCCACAAGGTAGACCGCACGCCACCCGCTGTGCTAACTATGTCATCTGTGCTAACCATTATCAGCCGGACCGCTTGGCCTCCTCGAAGAGGACCCCCACGGCTCGTCTCTAAACGTCATGCTGCAAGGGCTCACTAGATTTCTCTTGGATAAGATTGTTTCTGACTACAAGAGTATGTCACCAACATCATCTGCCATGGAACAGGTTAGTATTGCCTTGAGAATACATTGAACAGGCCCTGACAACCCGCAGATTCTTGCAACCTCAGCTACAAGCTCTATTCGATGCATGAATTGTAGGAGCGAGTATACAAGACCAGGTTCAACATATGTCAACGACTTGCTTTATCCACCATTTGTCAGTATGCGATATCTATCTGTACCGAACCCTTCTAACTCCGCTTCATAGAAACCTCCTGGACGAAACGCCAAAATGCCCAGGGTCACTTTTTCTCAGGTTCTTAAGAGTAGCGTTGAGAGAGAGACTACCTCTAAGGGTTGGTGTGGCCGATGTCAACGTTATCAAACTATCGCCACCAGAAAGACAATTCACAACATCCCGGCAGTCTTAATGTTGAATACTGCAATTACGAGTCACGACCATCGCATGCTGTGGTCCACTCCCGGCTGGCTTCCTGAGGAGATTGGAATCATTGTTGAGCAGGGACAGTTCTTCTGTTACGAGGGAGAAGACCTGAAACTTCACTTACAGCGAGGAATCCATAATATCACAGTATATTCACTTATAGGAATGGCGACAAACATTGAGGGTGGCCAAACGCAAAAGCCGCACCTGGTATCCATGGTCAATGGCAAGTGCTTCCGATGGGACGTGCAAGTTATCTAATGCTAATGCTAACAAACAAACAGTTGCACACGCCGAGCAAGAAGCTCCCGGACAAAGTCAATGGCACTTGTTCAACGACTTCTTAGTTAGGTCTGTCAGTACAGATGAAGCCCTTACATTCAACACGTCATGGAAAGTCCCTAGTGTTGTAGCATTCCAGATCAAAGAAGCGAATAACAAAATTGATTCTACTTGGAAACATCAGCTGGATACTTCGATTCTGTATCATGATTTGTAGTGCGTATTTTTTTCTACATACCAAGTGTCTATTGCCACGCCAAGCTAACTTGAGCTGCAGTCCGAATCCAAACTCTGAAACCAAAACATATCACATCCTGGATCCGAAGACTGAGCGTCCTGGCCCGGATACAATAGTAGCACTAGACACGGAATTCGTCGCCATTCGACAGCCCGAGATTGAAATGAACTCGGACGGCGAACGAGAGACGATTCGTCCGATTGTCTATGCCCTGGCCAGAACATCTGTCGTCCGCGGGCAGGGCGAGAACGAGGGACGGCCCTTCATCGACGACTATATTTTAATACAAGAGCCCATTGTGGATTATCTGACCTCGTACTCTGGCATAACCCGAGAAGATCTGGACCCGCGGATTTCCAAACACAGCCTGCTCCCACTGAAGATGGCCTACAAGAAACTCTGGATTCTGCTCAACCTCGGGTGCAAATTCCTCGGCCACGGCCTCAAACAAGATTTTCGCGTTATAAATATCCATGTTCCTAAGTCTCAAGTCATCGACACTATCGATCTGTTCTTCCTAAAGTCGAGACTTCGGAAGCTCTCGTTGGCATTTCTAGCGTGGTACCTCCTAAAGGAGGACATTCAAATGGAAACGCACGACTCGATTGAAGACTCCCGGACGGCACTCAAGTTATATCGGAAATATCTAGAGTTTGAAGACGCTGGGATTCTGGAAACCATGCTGCAGGATATTTATCGCGCCGGAAGAGATGTCAACTTTAAACCTCCACGGAAGGATGACGTGGGTGTCCAGAGGACGGACACTCCGCCGTTGCCGGTGGACTCGTCCACGCCAGGACCGTCCACGCCCGTGAGGAAGATTATTGGTATGGCGCCCGGGTCTGGGTTTGGCGGGGGCACGAGTTGGACGCCGGGGAAGGGATCGCCGCTACGATAGGATTAGTCATGGTTTGGTTATGAAACGCAAAATCCAATTATTGCAGCATGTTTATGTACTTTTTGAAGTTTGGCACATGCAATAGCGAGACAAAAATTTGCATCAAGGTGAAATGCGCATGTGAAGATGTGTGATTTTATCAAAAAAAGGTCAAAAAAAAAAGCGCAATCCTCTTGAAACTCATCGCTCTATGGTTACGTCGCCACGCCGTTTCCGTCCTAATAAACAACACCGATACCCATGTGCAATTATTCAACAGCGACCCTCGCACACCGCTGGCCCGCGCCGTCTAAACGCGAAAATGTACTCGTATCTTGCTTTTGACAGGCACCCAGTTTTACCGCTGAGCGTAGTCCAACACGCGCGCACACACGTACATATACCCATCATGCAAGCATGCCTCCCTTTTTGTTCTTCTTTTCTGCTATTTTCCGCCTTTCACCAACCGACCAAATTGTATTCACTGAACAACACCTCCAACGCCATCTATGCAAATGCCACTATATTTGATTGAGGGGTGGAATCTTCGTGGTAGGAGGAAGCTTGTGGGGTGGGATATATGACCCTGCTTTGGACAATCCTTGTTCCTGCTGAAGCCAATTGACGGAACGCTGCCTCAAGGCATGGCGGCGTGATTACCGATCCTTACTTAGTCTGAGGACTGGCATCTGTATTACACTTCAAGGATGCCACACGCCACCATGCCTCTGGTGGGGAGAATGAAGGGGCAGTCGTTGTTTTGTCTTCCTACAGCTCGGATTCGGCGCCGTTCGTTGATAGAGCCATGGGACTGCCGTTCTGGTTTTGTCGCTGACGGAGACGGGCGTTGCCAGGAGGTCGTCGACGGACCATTGCCCTCCCGTTAAGGTTCATAGATTCGTCGTCATCCTCGGATTCGGCGCATTGTTCAGCGTAGATGCGAGACTCGTCAAGGTCGTTGACATCGATTGGTCGAGCTCGTAGCCATTGCATGCGCGGGCCCGATCGGGCCCGCTCTGAAACTCTGAAGCCATAAATCTTGGGCTCATAGATGCGGCCAGGTCCTAGGCCTGGGGCAATGTTCCTGGTGTACATGCCATTGACGAGCTCCTCATCAGCTGCTATGCGCGAGGTTGCTGAAGAGAGAACCTCGACCCCCCTCTTGGTGAGGTCGTACTCGGGGAAGGTAAGAAGGAAAAGGGCGCCGAATGTGCGACCAAAGAATGCTCCGTCGACAGTTTGGAAACGGCTGTTTGGTGGGACATAGACGTCCAGGCAAGCCGGGCAGAACAGCTTGACGGTATCCTCGCCCGGTATATCAGAGAGTCCGACGGGCAACGTCCTTGCCTGATCACAGTTGGTCCGTGGGCAGCATCCAAAGTGGCCGAGTTCATATTTTTCGCTCATCTGCTGGATTCCAGCACGCGAGCATATAAACCGTTGGTGAATGAGGCCGTAAAGCATTTCTGCTGAGGACTCAATGACAGACAAGTCGCTGGCCATTCTACTATGGTGTCTTCGCTCGCCTGGTCGGCCACCCATTCGCTCTTGGCCATCCCCCAGACCGGATTCATTATCATCCTCCTCTTCCTCCTCTTCCTCCTCATCTTCATCGTCTTCGGGCTCCACATCCAATATCATCTGCGGAAGAGCAGGGGAGAGTTAGTTGACGAAGACTTGCATTCCCGTACCAGAACACCCCGGCCCGGGGGGGGGGGGGGGGGTGTGGTTGTTTGTGGGGAGAATAAAAAAAATTAAAATTCAACCACCACATACCTCCAATGCTTCCTTATACATGGCCACCTGGGTCTGAAGACCCGTCAGGTTAAAATCATCCTCGATAAACTCCTCTGATACCTCGGCGAAATACTCATGGCCCAGAAGAGCACAAAAGCTTGAGATCCACGACTCAGGCGCGCCCGAGTCTGTAGACATGACGAAAGTCGAGATGGCCGCAAGGCCAGTTGTCGACAAAACGACGGAACAATAAGATGGGACAGATGATGCAATCCAGATGGAGGGGCAGATATCGACAGGGCTGCCCACAAGACTCGAAACAGGATTGAGGCGGGGTGGTAAAATGGCACGCGTGCCGCAGATGCACGGGACGAGGCGTCTGTGAGATGAGGTCGAGCAGCTGCGGTCGCGGTCGCGGTCGCGAGTTGGTCCGGATGGAGTTGTGGCCAGACGATGTCGTCAGGCTGCTTGATGCCGCTGCGTGATGCCGCTGCTTGATCTGCGCGCGCGAAACGTCTGGAGGAGCTGTGATTTGACAATACAATGCTAGTGCGTGCGCGCCCAAGGTCTAGCGATGCGGTGGTCGGTGGTCGGTGGCCGGTCGTCGAATGGGCCCATCCATCAATCTGTGCAAGTGGGCTCGAGCTGCTCTTGCCTCTTTCCTCGAGCCTCCTGGCCGGCCAGCTGGTACTAGGCGAGATGCAACCAGTGCCCCATCATCCTCGACGCCTCCGGTGCCAGGTTTTGCCGACTTCCGACCTCCCTGCCTTTTTGGACATGCTCTCTCACCACTCTCAACGCCTGGCAACATACGAAAGCATGGGGGGTGAGTGGCAATTGTCATTATAGCCCGGTTGGGGTTAATTGTTAATATCCTGTATAAAAGTTCCGACCAATCCAATTTATTCTCTCTTACATGTTTGCTTCATCTATGCGCCATGAACCGTCCCACCTTGCTTACCACAATATGGCGACGATCGCTTCACATCTCTTCACGGCGTGCTTATCAGCCTCTGCGGTCTGTCGAGGCCGCCTCCGCATCATCCCAAGCGCACGCAGACATCCAAGCCTTTCAGAAGAAAGCGTTCATACCCCGAAAGCCGTATTTGTTTCGAGAAGACGGCGGCTCACCGACTTCTCGCCTGCCAGCCTTTAGTAAATGGTTCAACAGATCCGCTTCCTCACATGACAGCCACTCAACATTACCGTTCGCTTCATCTCTGGTGCAGGGATTCCAAGAATGGCCTTTCCCGTACGAATTGATCAAATCGCAAAGGGAGCAAGATGCCTTCTCTCAATTCCAGGCCGCACTAATGACCAGCTCAGAAATGACTGATCAAATCATGGCAGGAATTCTGCAATCGGCCGTGACTGACGAGAAGGACCAGAGCTTCTTTCAACTCTATGCGCCTTTGAAGCTTCTCATCAAGGCCATAGAGTTCAACGCGGCTCGGGACTCAACTACCACACACCCCTTGCATTTGTATATTGCTCAGTCTTCTCTGTCTGATTTGCCGCAGCCCCTTCAAGACGATTTACCGGCTCCGGAAATCGTACTTCGTGCCGGAAAAGGCGACATCTACGCTTCATCTATCTGGCTGGGTACAGAACCTACTTATACGCCGCTGCATAGAGATCCAAATCCGAACCTGTTCTGCCAGTTGTACAGCCAGAAAGTTGTACGGCTGTTACCGCCAACTATAGGTGATGAATTATTCTTTCACGTCCAGCGCCGAATACGGCAACATGGAAATAGTCGCATAAGGACAACTGATATGATGCAAGGCCATGAGAGAAAGGTGTTGCATGACGCAGTCTGGGGAAATGAAACACCACTCGAGGAACTGCACGAAGTTGAGCTCGGCGCTGGCGACGCGCTCTTCATTCCGGAGGGTTGGTGGCATTCTGTCAAGAGCGCGGGGTCTGATGGAGGACTTAATGGCTCTGTAAATTGGTGGTTTAGATAAACGGAAGTAGAAGTCATGAATTATTAGTCAAACAGCCACATCAGCACTGAATGGAAGCAAATATATCTGTTCAACTCCCTAGCCTAGCTTGCTGAGTCCGAGATAATTGGCAGCTAATGCCGGTGCCTTTCTCATTATTCTTCCTTTTCTCGCTTTTCTTATCTTTCGGTTATGATAGTGCACATAGATCACTCAAGCAGTGGGGAGCTATTTAACTCGATTTCACCTTTGACCTCTTCACTCTTCCATCCACGAAGCTGCAACTCTTCTTCCAGCAAGCTGCAACTCTTCTTCCAGCAAGCTGTAACTCTTCTTCCAGTATAACTCTTCTTCTAGCAAGCTATGACTCTTCTTCCAGCAAGCTACAACTCTTACCTCCAGCAAGCTGCAACTCTTACTCTCAGCAACTTGCAGTTACTGTCCTACCCATTAGTTCATAACGTTTTTTCTTAATCACATTACCGTTCTTTTCTTATCTTTCGGTTATCAAAGTGCACATAGATTACTTTGGCGGTTGGCAGTTGCTGGGGTCGACTTTACCTTTAATCTCTTCACTAATCTCTTCACTCTTCCACCCACGAAGCTGCAACTCTTACCCTCAATAAGCTGCAGTTACGGTCCTACCCATTAATCTATAACATTTTTTTCTTAATCACACTACTGTCCAACATATCTAACATGGAGGTTATGGAGGTCGTTGATCTGACAGCGGACGCTGTAGAGGATGACTATGAAGATGTTGAAATTGAAACCAGCACACCATCTGGGAATGCTATGGAAACAAGTTCATTCGAAGGTCAAGCCGATGACAGCGCTATGAATATTGAGACATTACTTGGAGATCTCGAGCAAGAAGATTCAGATTCAGTGACTTCAGGTGGCGCGCCAGAGGAGGCACCAGAGGAGGCGCCCGAAAGGCAGCCCGAGAGTTCTGAAGCCGATTCGGATAGTGTGAGTGCATCTCTGTCTCTTGGAGGTTAAGCTATATTTACTAAAGTTCAAGCAGAGTCATTCTGATGAGGAGTTTAACCATGAAGTCGATGAGTTTATTTGTTTTGACGATGGCGACCCCAATAATGATTCCGACTCTGATGAGGAGTTGGACTGGCAAGGTGATTGCGTACAATCATGCCAACCGAAATATGAGAAAATACATGAAAAATCGCAAATTCGCAAGTTCAGAATTGGAGAGTCGAGGCAGTTGGTGGCAGGGTTTCGTGCAAAGATTACTAGGATGAAGGCAAAGATTGCTGGGTTGAAAACCCAAAATCGGCGGCTTAGGGCTGACCTTGCTGCTGCAAGGAGCAGCGCATCGGGACCTCCGAGACGAACAAAAGCCGTAAGTATCTCTCTTGACTGCTCATTTCAAGGTCTAACCATGTGTGAAATAGATGTGGCCGGAGTACATCAAGGACTTCCTTCGAGGCCGATGGACTCGTCTCCCACCTGGAATCAGAGATTATAGTGACATCTATAAGCTTAGCTGTCGCGAGTCAAACATGCCGTGGCACCCAAACCGGGTTCTACCAGGCCTCGTCCTGAGGGAGAAGGATGATGACGAAGATGGTGCTATTGAATCCATAGCGGTTACTGGGGGATTCAACTTCAACCAGCTGCCGCCCATGGCGCAGTTTCGTGTCCTTCAAATGCTTCTATGCTTTTATGGAAAGAAGGTTCATGTTTTGACTCGGCTTGATCCATATCATGAGCCTTCTCTGTCGACTGGTGAGCTGGGCAATGACCCAGAACGCCCACAGCTTCTTCGTCGATTTCATATCGGGGACTCACCTGTGAGTCTAACGTATGCCACGTTACCAAATGATTTACTAGCACCATTAGTAGTGTGCAAACAGTGGTTATTCTGGGGCGCGCATTTGTTTTATGGCGAGAACACTTTTGCATTCTCCTCGCTGGGCGAATAGGGTTGCTTTGCGAGGGGGATCAAAAACAGGCTCCAAAGGGTTCAACATATTGAGCTCCTATGGATGGGTTCCCAATATCTCACATATAAAAAGAGTCCTCGGGGCAAATACATTTCTCGGCGAACTCAGCCTCTGATGTGGCTGCCAGAAACCAATCGACTTTCTACCCTCGATATATACATTCCCGAGTCGTCAGAATATTACATGCGCCGAAAACATGAAACAAGTGCTGTTATTAAGCACATGAAATGGAAGACGCAGCACCAGCCCAATTACCGTATGTTTCGGTCGCTTCGAACAGTACAAGGCCTGGATTATGTCTATTGTCTACGTGGAATCAGCCGCATCACATTCTGGGACCATACAAAGTGGATTGCACAAGGGCTGAAATGCAAAGTGCTAGACAAGACGTTCCAGCTAGACGTGGCTAGAACAGTGCGTGGGCATAAGGATCCGAGAGACCAGCGCAATGCGAGGTTGAGAATCCTTGCTGATCTTATGCCAGGCTTGAATCCAAGGGAAGATGCTTGGCGGACAATGGCCCTGGCGCTGCCCAAGCTCAAGGACGAACTGTTAGACGGCGACGATGATTGGGAGGACGAGGACGATAATAACGTTGGTGATAGCGGTACAAGCGGTGCAAACAGCTCGGATGAGCACGAGGACGAAGATTCTGATGCTGACGATGGTTCGGAATCCGGTTCTGACTCTGACTCTGACTCTGACACAAGTGACGGGGACTCGGTCCAAATTCTTTCTGGCAGCCCGGTTGCGATGAACCACCAACAGGCAATTTCTATACCAGGAAGTCCAGTCAACTCGAATCATGGAGTACAGACACGTTCGATCCCCAGACTATCCAACAACACCAACTCTGAATACGGAGTGACATTGGAGAGAGACATCATGGAGGACTCTCTACCAAATATTGTTGACCTTACGCTCGAGGACGACGAAGATGGATATGATGATACGCAGAATGAAGCTCTGACTCAATATAGCAGTCAGACAATTTGGGACGACGGAATGAAAGCAGAGCCGATCTCTGAAGATACCGGCGCGAATATAACTAATACAAACGAAAACTCGAATACCCAGGAAGAATCGCTCTTTATCGATGGCAACAGCGGTAACTCAACTGGGGAGGTCACATACGACCACTGCAAAAGTCAATCTCCAGAAGAAGAGGCGATGCGGGCCATCAGTGCTCATATCAAAGACTCCCAAAAACATGGAAGCCCAACAAGCAGCAATAGTGACTCGGAGGGCCCCCTCTTTGCGAGTCCGACTCGATATGATGAAATCGTACATCAGAGTTCTAGCACAGGGGCGAGAACTGTCCGGAGTGAAATATCCTCCTCCTTATTTCTTGGAAGTGGTGATCCAAATAGCTCCAGATCACCGTCGTCTGAGAGTTCCGCGAGCAAAACGAGCAAGCGTTCTTACAATGGTAATGGCAATAACGAGGGCTCAGACAGAGAATCTGAGTCCAGGAAGAGGCAGCGAAGCGAGGGGCCATTTGCTGGTGGTAGTGGTAGTAGCGTGGAAGATTGCATAGAGCTTTGAGGCATTCAGAATCAAGGATACAGCGCCAACTGGTCTTATGGGATTTTTCATGGGAGGAACAAGGGATTGATTGGCGTAGGAAGGATAATGAAATGGCAGGTTTTAAATGGGGAAAAGAAGCGCGGTCAATGCAGTATATTAGCACCAGCACGTTCAAAAACTACATGATACTTTAGCTACAATTGCTTACATACCTACCTAGGTAGGTACCTAGGTAGCTTATACGATGAGCCAAATCTCACTGAACCATCAATGCTTGTCGGACCATTAAACACGTATCGCCTCTAGGTACCTCCACATATATTTTTTGATATAAAGATACTAAAGAAATTTCCTACAGCCACGCTGCCTGGTGCCGCATAATACCACGGCCTAGAATTTCATGATAGCTGCATAATTTTAACATAGCATAACATAAACCTTTAATATTAGCCGCTAGCATAGCGGCATTACTGTTTAATGGTCCATGAGTGTCCATCTGCCACACGAGAGAGGACAGTGTGGAACTGTCCACAAACTGCACTGTACCCGCCCACCACCTTTTCCTGCGTCATCTTGGTGGGGCTCGAATTTTCACAACCTCCACCAAAAGCATTCAGGCGAAACCATAGCCAGGCCCGATCATCTCGAACGATCGTTTTGCCGCCTAAATCCATGCCCAAGGGTATCTCGGAGAGGCCAAGTTCGTTTCATCTCGTTTGACTCACAAGCAAGGCTCAAGCTTTCCAACCGGGGGGAACTCATCAGGCAGCCACGCGGGGAACCAACGAGGGGCATTATTTAGACGTGTCTGCGCCAACATTTCCTGTTTTCGACCCACCGAGGACCTCTTTCAAACAGCATCGTTTCCGTCGCCGGCCGATAATCATGTCCAACCTCAACTCTTGGGAAGACGATCCCGCCGCACAAGACGAGAATCTCTCGCGGAGAGCTCAGCAGCAGCTCAACGTCAACGCTGGCCAGAGTCAAGGCGGATTCCGCCCCGGCGCCACTTCCTTCCAGCCAGGCGCCCAATCGTTCCAGCCTGGCCAGCCATACGGCGGTGGTTTTTCCAACCAGTATCAACAGCAGCAGCAATACTACCAGCAAGGCTACTATCCCCAATATGGTCAGCAGCAAGGCTTCAATCAGTACAACCAGGGAGGCTATGGCGGCAATTTCAGCCAGGGATATAACCAGGGATATGGTATGCCGCCTCTGCTATTCGATTTCTCCCAGCGCGCAAAACTAACTACCATGTTCTTAGGTGGAGGATACCCTCAGTATGGTCAACCGGGCCAGGCCCAGCAGCAATCCACACAAGCTCCCGCCTCTGCTGCTCCTGCAGCCGCACCGACTGCCCCCAAGGTTCTAACCAAGGAGGGCGGTCCCAAAGTCCTTAGCATCGGCGGGGGGGGGGTCGCCCCCCCCCCCCCCCCCAAGCCCAAGGCCAAGGTCCTTTCGATTGGCGGAAGTGGAACTTCCACACCTACCAAGGACAAGGAGGAGGCCAAACCCGAGCCCTCAAACAAGCCAGAGGCTGGCCAGAAGGCTGCTGCTGTCAAAGCTATCGAGAAGACTGGTGAGAAGGCTGGGAAGGCCGCCTCCTCAAGCAAATCCTCTGGCAGGACCTCCCCAACTCCATCTTCCGGACGATCAAGTCCATCCGGCCCCGGCGAGAAGAAGGCTCAGCGCGAAGTCGACGCCGTTACCAAGGAACAGGCAGCCGATGTTGACGACGAAACTCTCAAGGAAGTCTACGGAAAGGAGCATGTCAATATCATTTTTATTGGTCACGTCGATGCTGGTAAATCTACCCTGGGCGGATCCATCTTGTGGACGACTGGCATGGTTGATGAGAGGACCATGGACAAGTACAAGCGTGAAGCCAAGGATCTCGGCCGAGAGTCTTGGTATCTGTCGTGGGTCATGGACCTGACCAAGGAGGAACGTTCCAAGGGCAAGACTGTCGAAGTTGGCCGTGGCTTTTTCGAGACAGAAAAGCGCAGATACAGCATTCTGGATGCACCTGGCCACAAGACCTACGTGCCCAACATGATTGGTGGCGCCTCACAAGCCGATGTTGGTATTTTGGTCATTTCGGCTCGCAAGGGTGAATATGAGACGGGGTTTGAACGTGGAGGACAGACGCGTGAGCATGCTATGCTTGCCAAGACGCAGGGTGTCAACAAGTTGATTGTCGTCATCAACAAGATGGATGACCCTACGGTCGAATGGTCCCAGGAGCGTTACACGGAGTGCACAACCAAGCTCTCTCAGTTCCTGAAGGGAACAGGCTACAACCTGAAGACGGATGTCTTTTTCATGCCTGTTGCCGCACAGTCTTCACTCAACATCAAGGATCGCCTCCCCAAGGGCATTGCACCGTGGTGGGAGGGTCCGTCGCTGCTAGAATATCTGGACGGCATGAGCGCTCTTGAGCGCAAGATCAACGCACCATTCATGATGCCAATCAATGCCAAATACCGAGATCTGGGTACCATGGTGGATGGTAAAATTGAAGCCGGTGTTGTCAAGAAGGGCATGTCTCTGGTCATGATGCCTCGCAAACAGACCGTGGAGGTGTCGGCGCAGTACGGTGAGCAAGAGGAAGAAGTTCCCATTCTGCAGTGCGGCGATCAAGTACGAATGCGTCTCAAGGGTGTAGAGGAAGAAGATATCCTGCCTGGATTCGTGCTCTGCTCACCCAAGCGACTGGTCCACTGCGTGGCCGAGTTCGAGGCACAGATTCGTATCCTGGACTTGAAGAGTATCTTGACATCTGGGTTCAACTGCGTTCTGCACGTGCACTCGGCCATTGAAGAGGTCACCTTTGCTGCGCTGCTGCACAAGCTGCAGAAGAATACCGGCAGAAAGAGCAAAACCCCCCCGACACATGCCAAGAAGGGAGACAGCATCATTGCACGGATGCAAGTGATTGGTGGAGCAGGATCTGTTTGCGTGGAGAAGTTTGAGGATTATCCCCAGATGGGTCGCTTTACTCTTCGTGATCAGGTACGTTGTCATTGCTTGCTTGTGCAACAAACAAACACAAACAAACGAAAGGGGGCAGAAACAAGATGATGAAACAAGTAACTGCAAGCAGAAACTAATCTATCTGTACTGTATAGGGACAAACTATTGCCATTGGCAAGATCACCAAGCTCATTACTAACAGCGACTAAATGAAGGTATCCTGTAAGTGGTGCCGCCATGAGTTTCTGTATTCGATAAAGTCATCAGAATCGAGGAGCTCCCATCTCCGAGTCAAGAAAGGAAGAGATGGGGGGCAAGAAGAAGAGGCATTGCGCGCGTGCTAAAGATGCTCGGTTTCCCATTGAACAGACGGAGGCGTATCTTTGACGAAAGAAAGCCGGCGTTGGGAATAAATGATATGGCAAGATGGCTTCATTTGATGAGGTGGATAGGTGGATTCCGGTAGATAACACACGGCAATCTGGAAGCATAGATGGGCTCAAAAAAAGATACAAAAGCTATGTCCCTTTGGCAGAATTCGATAATAAAGATGCATGATAGCACCCCCTACGAAAGTATGTTATGTACAAGAGGGTCCATGCCACTTGGGGCGCAGACCTGCAAAAGGTAACTAACTATCAGGTATCACAAAATGGGTAGCCAATGAGGACGCAGTGCATGTGTGTAATACCTGGTCGCTTGGTAGTAGTGATGAGCGAGGCGGGCGACCGGACTTGTTCGCAGATACGCCTCGTATCTACGACACAGGGGCGATTGGTAGGGGAAAAAAAAAGGGACGGAAGGACACGGGATGCGGCTCTTTGCAAGGCCAGCGGCGGGTGCGTGTGTTTTGTGTGGCAGCCCGACTGTGCAGAGGCGCAGCTGCGACGCGGCGCGACTCCATGGACATGTGCAATGACACACAAAACCAGCATCGTGACGTGCGTCATGGACCTGGTTTTTTTGGAACGCTGGTCCATCCCGGTACTGTGGGGACCCAGAAAAAAAAATAGGTGCATTAAAAAACAATGGCTAAGAAGGAGGTAATAGGGCTCGTTTCTTGTTGGCCCCCCCTTCGCTTCAGCACAACTTTAATTTTTGTACGGGAAACTAAATGTTGCAAAGTGGCACGAAAAAGAACCGGGAGCCTGCTGGCGCATCCCCGTGTTGGGCCCCCTGCGCGAGGGGTCCATCCTCCGAGTCGGGACACGGAACGGCGCCAGAAGTGGGGAGTCGTGGCTGGTGGACGCCCGAGTGTGGAGACGGCGGCCAGAATGGGCGTGGCCGGAAGGGGGACACGGATTCGGAAGGTAACTATACCATCTGAGATCTGAGACGGGCCGCTACAGGAAAAATGGTGTCGGTTTTATAAACCGTTTTTTTATTACATCAGGACTGCGAGTTCGTGTGTGTGTGCGCGTGAGGAGCGGAATGGGCAATAGGAAGCGAGCATGATTCAAAAAGGGAGTAAGATGAAAAGGGAGCAGGCGAAACAGACAAACAGCCAAACGGTCGGTCAAGCATTGTGCCTTTTCCGAGGGGGAAGGATGGGCGGCACGGCACGGTAGGTAGGTAGAGGGTGTGCGGCCAGCGAAGTGATAAAAAAAAAAAAACCAAGATGCCGAGCGCAATACGGTGCGAAATATATTGTGCTCGGCGGCAGGAAATATCCCGGGACGGCGAGCGTGCGTGAAAAACGGTCGTCGAGGGGGGACACCGCCGTTGGACGCGTGGGGTGAAAGCATTCCTCTGTGCAAGTCTCCCAAGGGGGGCGTGCAGGTATCATCAATTAGTAGTAGTGGGAGTATTACAAAGGGAGCACGTAATCGCAGTGTCATCCTGACAATTATCCCTCTTCCGAAGCCGAAAAGGAAAAGAAAAAAAACAAGACCACCGAAAATGAATGCAGTCTTGTGCCGGAAGAGAAGAATACAAAAGATACGTACATGTGTATGTACTCTGCGCCTTCCTTGCATGACGAAAGCGTAGGCGGCGGCCGGAACAAGTCGGAGCTGGCGCTGGGTGCGGCGCGGGCAGCCAATCGG